TACATTGTTCTCATCATCTGGAAACCATTAAACGCAATGTTTCCTCTTATCAGCCCCAATTTTGCCTTTGGTCACCGTTCAATACCCTGCCTCTATCATAGATCTATTCATCGCGCCAGAAGGGGGCGTTATTGCTTACTTTGAGAAACGCTGAGCTAAAATAAAAGTCAATGTGTTAGAAATATTCAAGTTGTGACCTTCAATAAAAAATAAAAAATATATAAAATGACAACATTTTATAAATATTCCGTCGAATTTTTATATATAGAATTTGTCTGCCGTCGCCCCTCTATATTTCCTTAACGCCCCCCAATTCTCTGTGAGCCTTCTACTGTCCCCTTGAAAGCCTCCAGCGCCCACTTTGAGAAACACTGTTATAAGCTATATACAGTCGACCCCCTTATAACACGGTATATAAGTTCCGTTTTTTATGAAATTCATGTTCTAAGAGTCCTTGAATACATGAGCCAATCACAGCCCGGCACGTATGCAGTTTACGGACAACAGCAGTTTGAAAGGTTTTCTTCAATAATATTGATTCTAGACTAATTTGATTCAACATTTCCAAAACACGTATAATTTTTTGGGAATAATCCATATAAATTATGCTATAAACAAAAAATTGTAGGATTACTTACAGAGTGTGCACCATTCAACGTCACCATTGCTTAAGCTTGTTTACATCACGGAGCGGCACATCGAACGGCGGGCGTGTGTTTCCTGGTAAATTATTTTTCTGTGAAAAATTTGGTGAACTTTGGAGACATCATTAATATAAATATAATTTTTATGGCCGTTAAATAATAAATAGTTTTTAGTAGGTCCGCTGCTCGTTTAAACTCAACAGTTTGTGCAATATCCGCTATTGGTCTAGATTCGACCAATCCTGTCGTGACATGAGTCGGCGATGATGTTTTACCGNGTTTTTAGTAGGTCCGCTGCTCGTTTAAACTCAACAGTTTGTGCAATATCCGCTATTGGTCTAGATTCGACCAATCCTGTCGTGACATGAGTCGGCGATGATGTTTTACCGTCTTATAAGAGTTTCTTTTAGTGTGTTTATACGAATACAGTCGCAATTTTTTCACCGTTATATAGGAATCCTCATTATATGAACCCGTTTTATAGGGGGGTCTACTGTATATGTAAAGAATAAAATTATATTTAACAGATACAAATTAACACACTTCTGAAGTAGGGTCTGTTTGACCATTATTAATCTGGTCTTTTAGACAGTTATAAATAAAAATTATAAAAAATTCCAACAAATAAAACTTAACTGAAAGAGGATCACCTGTATNAAATTATATTTAACAGATACAAATTAACACACTTCTGAAGTAGGGTCTGTTTGACCATTATTAATCTGGTCTTTTAGACAGTTATAAATAAAAATTATAAAAAATTCCAACAAATAAAACTTAACTGAAAGAGGATCACCTGTATACAACAGCATACACTGGAACAGGTGTTGCATGGCACCAAAGAAACCAAATTAAAGCAGCCTACCAAATTCAAAACTAGCCAGTTTAGAAAGAAACTGGTTTTCTGGTAATTCTGGATTTCTGGTATCTAGATTATTTGATCCAGTACTATAAGAGGAGAGTTGTTTCGATCAATCTGCAAAGCATGAAAAAAGATATGATGGAGGCTTCACGAAAGCATGAATTGATAAATTACTTAGTTTGGTGGAGAAGGTAGAAGTATTGAGCAAGCACTTAGTCTGTACTATTATAATGTTTACTCCATTAAAAGCAGAAATTTAATTCAAAGACATCCAATGAAACAAATTCCGCTTTAATAGAGTATAAAAATGAACTGCCATTATCTGATGTCACATACAACTACACGAATCCAGAATTTATAATTTTATAGTGCATTATATTTACTTAAAAACAAGCTAAACCAATACATTTATTTTTTCATATTATAATATATAAATATTTATTAATAATATTTT